CTCCCGCCGCCCAGCCAGGGGGCGGGGTGGAGGCGGACAGGTGGGGCCACCGCGGCCTTCCGAGCCCCGCGCTCCGCGGCGGGATCCGCTGTGATGTCTGCGGCCTTCGGCGCCCGCCGCCTCACCAAGGCCGGAGAACAAAGTCTGCAAACCCTTGGCTCCGGGATCACATCTCCAGCCCTTGCCCGCGGCGTTTTTAGAAGTCACTGTGGACAAGCCAGGGGACTCCTCGTGTGAAGGGTCACCGCACAGCCGGGAGACCAGATTAGAGTGACCCTTTCTCACACATATTAAGAGTCGGCAAGGTTAGAAGTAGGTTCCACCTGGGATTAACAAGCAAATGTCAGAAATTTGTCATCCCCCAGTCTCACATTGATGAGTTCCAGGTGAACGTATTTCTACGTCATTGTTTGAACATGATTCTGGATATTTAATACTTACAGTGAATGAAAAAGAAATGGATAAAACGCATCAACGACTGAAGGGTGTTGCTTCAGAGGGTGCACTGTAGGGGTGGCCTATTTAAAATTAGCACCATTTGCTGCTATTAATGGAAGGCTCTAAGTGAGCCACCTTTGTCTATGCTGTCATTAGGCCATTTGGAAATGGATGATTATTTCATGATCTGCCGCTCTCTCTAGGCAGTGAGCAATAGACTGGAAGAACTCCTGTGTACCACCACTGAGTAGAAAACATGAATCTATTCATGCTGGGAAACACCATTTTGTATACTGTAAAGATATACAGCGATTAAATATAAATTTAAAAATAATTCTAAAACAACAACAAAACCATGAAAGGACCAAAATTGACCGTCGCTGTTTTCTAGAACTGATGAATATTAGTTGAAGAATACTAGTTACTTCCTCCCTGTCTTGTGTCATATAGCTCTTTACCCTAGTTGGGAAAGTTAGAGTGCCCTTTAGTCCCTGTGTCTCAGAATTCCTTCTTTAAAGCATCCCCACCCAAAGGTAAGTTAAAAACAAACATGAAACAAGGACACACAACACAGTTCATAGTGTTTCAATTCTGTTCCATCTTCCTTTCAAAAAAAGTCTTGAATTTCAATGGAATCTCCAAAAGAAGAAAAAAGGCCTATCCAAAACTTTCAAAGAATAGAACAAAAAAAAAAAAAAAAAAAAAGAACAAAAACACACTATTGGTAAAAAGGAAAGAAATGCCTTATATACATTTTAGGTATACAGGATATTTTCCCATGGATGTTAATTGCTTCAAGTCCCAAAGAAATAACAGGCAAACTGAATTAGCACTTAGAGGAAAAACCCCTTCCAGCTACTGAGTTGGGAAAATGTTTAGGTTTTTATTTGTTTTGTTAGTATTAGAGATTAAAGAAAAGGTGTTTGTGTGGCAAAAATAAGACATGCAACAATTATATATATGTATACATGTATGAGTAGCATAAATATAATAAACAACTGCTCTTATGAAGTAGGAAAATTGAACAGGGATTCTATTTTGTATAAATGTCTTGCAATTTAAATTTGATTTAGGGCTTCATAAAAACAAATGAGCCTGTGTTCCTACATCTGCCAATAATTTTCACAGTTAACGATAAAAGCAGTGAAGTTTTCATCTGGACTTTGAAGAGAAAAAGCCACATGACTTATGAGCTCCGTTGTGGACATACTAAATTCTTAATGCTTACCAAATTTCTGAGTTCAGAATAATCACCCCAAATCTGTTTCTCACATTGATAATCCATAAAGAAATACTTTAAAAAAAAATTCCTATAGGGTGCATGCACTCGCCAGAGAAAGGGAAAATTGGGGGGGGGCGGGGGCAGGTGACAACACAACAGTCCCTTCTCCTTTCTCCTCTTGGGAATTTTAGGTATGCTTCAAGGGAGGCCTGTTTTTCAAGCTTCCTGGTCCAGGAATCAAACCATGCTGTTGGTCATATGGGATCTCAGCCACCTAAACCATCACACCACCAGCTGGCCCAAAATACTTTTATTAGGCTTATGTGTTAAGTTCAAATTTCAGAACTTGGATAAGATTGAGAATTTGTGTATAAAATACAGAAAAAGACTTATTCTCAATGTCTTCTTTTGGGGGAAGGTAGTCATAGCTTGGGAATTATTTTACAAAATCAGTGTCCCTTCTCATCTATTGATAAGTAAATGAAGCAATAGCTTTTTATGCTTGATGAGGACCAGCACCAAATTTCCTTTACCAGAGCATTTTTATCACAGGTAAACTCTCAAGTTTCTCTGTAGACTCCTTTTGCTTTGGCCAAAAGACAAGAAATATGCAGTCTCAGTATAACAAAAAGTGCTAATGTACAAAATAGAAATGTCATATATAAAACAGAAATCAATAAGACTACGATATGTTTAAAAGTCATTTCAGAAGAACCACCGTTCTATAATGGTGTTATTGTCCATCAAAATTATTTTCAAGAGGTAAACCAACAAACTAATTTAGATAAAGAATGAGCAGTTG